TCAAACCCAGAACTCAAAGAGTTAAAGCACATGGGAAAAGACTTGGTTATTGAGGACTTCATTCTCATAGCTTAAGAACTTTGAATGAAGAAGCAAAGGGTTTGAGGGCCTAGACTTAATTGCCTTGAGGCTTCAGGATGGGTCTAAAATAAGACTGTGTCTAAACCAGGTCATTATCTAGCTGCGTCTTGTTTTTGCCATTGGCTTGATACAGTCACAAGCTGTAGCCAGACGATAATGTTCAATTCAGACATGAACCTCATTTACAATGTTTAGTTTCGTCCTACAACTCAATCAATGAGTGTCCAATCCTCTTACCTGTCGAGAGCGAGTTGGCCTTCTTATTGGTCGGCGGCGAGGAGCTGGAGGAGTGAGTTGAGATTGAGGACTGGGAGCTGATGGATTCCCGACTGCTGCTGGAACTGTACTGAGGCTCCACTGTAAGGTTTGAAGGGGTGAGGGGTAAGGGGTAAGGGGGAGTGACAAAAACAGGACAAAAAAAATGCCTCACATTCAGACAATGTCTAATCAGAATTGCGTGTAATACTTGTCTTGAGATGTAACTGAAGGAAGTTTTCCCTTTGGTCAGGGATGGGTAATGAGTTTTTGTTGGACTCAAAGGTCTAGCCTATTGTCCCCTGACCGAGTCACAAACTGACCGAGTCCTTATCTAGTTATTTCCTAGAATACCACAAAGGACTTGTTTTTGGTCAATCCCAATTTGATGGGTACCACAAAGAGTGCATTAAAAAACGAATTAAGCACCTGTGTAGGTACACAGTGAATGATCCGTAATGAACTACATTGGGGGAATTGCTGGCGAGAGTTTACAGTATCATATGCAATCAAGTATCTCGAGTTGAATTAATATGGTTCAAACACAACAAGACCAAACACAACTGACGGAAACAACAAAAACACTCCAAAACAAGTATAAAGGATTCACGCAGCATAACAAAGAGAATTTGTTAATCATGGATGAGTTTGAGACATTAACGCCTGAGATGTAAGCATCTGAATGCAGTAAGTCTCTGAGAAAAATTCATCACAGGAAATGATTGAGGAAATATGAACAAGACACGGTAACAGTTTAAAGGTGTACAGGTCTGGGAAGGGGGGAAGGTTATTTCTGTGAAACAAGATGAGCAATTCCAAAAGTAAAATCCACATCATGACTAGAAGTAAATCATAAGTTATTATGAAGCTTTGTCAAGTTTTAGAAAACTCTGACATCTTAATCTGATTTTGCACTCATTAACGGTGCTATGCCTGCCACAATGGCCACACATTGCTATTTCAATGACATCTCAATTAAAGCAAGGTTATTTGTTTTCTACATTCATGAGTTGTAGTAAAGTCTGTCACGAGCCAATGTGGCCCATCAGGCCAGCGTTTATCTCCAGTTTCAGTAGCATGGAACGACTGAGAATATTTTGTATTCTCCCTGGACGAGATGCTAGTCCATCGCAGGTTACTCCCCAGCTAATGCCGGTACCCATTTATGGGTGGAGGGAGGCAAGTGGGGGTAAAGTGGCTTGCCCAAGGACACAACATATGGCCAGCAGCTGGATTCGAACCCCTGACCCTCTGATCATGACTCACAAACCCCGACCCCTAGGCCACACTCCCACATTTAGGCCTACATGTAGGTTTCAAAATATCAATAACAGGCAAAAACGAGCACTTTGTGCAGACCCATTCAAATTCAGAATAGTTGGAATGGTATCTTGTGCCGTGCTGATTTCGGCTGACGCCAACTTGGTTCAAATTTATGCGAGCGTGGAAAGATCATCTTTTTGTTTCATTCTCAAAACTGTTTCATCATGAATATGCAATCTTAACAGGACATTCTTGTGTAAGATTGATGCGCATAGTACAGTGAATACAAACACCTGATTTTCCAAAGCAGCTAGTGTTAAAGGGAAGTAAAGTCAATGCATCATCTCACAGTTTCTACAAATATTAAACATCCGGTTTAAATATGAAAAGAAACAAACTTGACAAGACACCGCACAAGAAAGCAGACTTTTTTTGACTTTCCAATACTTTATTTCATTCCCACAAAACCAGGCAAGATAGCAGTGTTCATGCAAGCATATCAGTGACACAACAAAAACTGCATGTTTGACATCACAAGAGCAAGAGTTTCAGGCATGCAAACACCACGCCATGCCCCATCCGTTTATGTACACCATAAGTACTAATATTTTGGTGGTGGCAAATCCAACTACATCAAGAGTAGTCTTTTTATCAAACTTTTGTGTTGTTTCAAATGACTAACGGCAAGCATCTTTTCTCTCCTTTTCTGTTTCGGTATAATATATTTGATTTCACTTTGTGAAATCCGAAAAGAGTTGTGTAATCTATACATTTTCTGCGAGGGATCTGCTTACATAATAACAAAAATTTGAATAGGAAGTATGTACAATTAATTAAAACACACATTTTGTTTTGGTATTTATAACTTTTCATTAAAAAGGCAGAATAAGGATATATGCTCTGAAAAAATGCTGAGTATTATGTTTTTAATTTTCATATAATTATATTTAGTTGTATTCTGAATATATTGGTAAAAAAAATTGCAAACAAACCATTTTCAAATATCTGTGGAAAAGTCAAGCAGAATTTCAAAGTATTTCACATGGTTTAAATAAGATGAGGGAGCATAGTCTTTGCAACACCATCAATCCGTTTCCCCACAACTATTTCATGATTCGAAGAACTGCATGGAAGCTGTGCACACGCGATTTTTACACCACATTGTTCACGAAATAGTGGTAGGGTCTGCCTCTTCAATTCTTGCCGTGGTTTCTGGGAAGCCAAACATCTTCAATGTAATATTGTTGGGGTGTCACTGAATTATTGCCACAGTGAAAACTGTACATTCAAGTTCAATTAGTTTAAGGATTAATTTTTAGTACACAGTTTATGTTGAGGATATTTTTGGTAAGTAATTTGACGTTTACGGAGAAGGATGTTTCCGACATTTTCAAATGTTTATCGTCATTCAACATATTCAGCCTGCACGCTGAAGTTGATCTGTCCATCTCTTTTCTGATAGACTGCTTCAAAAAGAGGAACAAATTGTCTTCAAAAATTAATGGAAGTGGGGCAAAATGGAGGCAAGTGAATGGACTATTAAGCGAGAATGAAAAATAGTGTGTGCAAAATGGAGAAAAATCCCGAAAATCCATACCAACAACAGGAAAGTCAATAGGAAAAACAGTTATTCATATGAAAGAATTCGAATTGGAGTTTCGATTTGTGAGTCCAAACAAATTATGTCAGTGGAAAAAAAGGGAAAGTTGAACACGAGACAACAACTGGCAGAAAAAAGCAACAGCCACCACAAATGAAAAAGAACACAGCAAGCAAGCAGCTAAAAATGTGGGGGGGGATGTTGATGATGGTGCAAGAACTATGAATCCAAATTGAAAAAAAAAAAAAAAAAAAAATTTACTTGATATCTGCAGATGTCAATATGTCCACTTTAGGTTTATATACTAACAGCAAAGTTTCTAAAAATTGGAAATACTGTCCTTTCATTTGCAATGGGCTGGCCTTTCCCAACACTACATTATGTTATTTGCATAACAAAGGAATTTACTTCCAAGTCTGAACTGCGTCTTAATCTAAAATGCTGCCGACCAAAAATTCTCAAAAGAAGCTGGCAGATTGAATTTTACTTCTATAATTTTGAAAAAGTCTGACAGGTATTCTGCATAACGGTGGAGATCTTTCCACGACGCTTTCTTCAATTGTCAACATTTCCAGTGAGAATACAAACCTTGTTTGACTTGAATTCTGCAGATAGTCATGTACAACCCCATGACATTTTGTGTGTGGGTAAATGAGTGTCTACTTCAACTGGAGATAACTGAGTGAGCTAATTGAAATTTCAAAGCTCAAACATCAGTCCCAAACAGCCAGATGAAAATAAAGAAGAATTATACATGTATATGGGCTAAAAAAAATACTTTTCTTATTCCCCGAATTGATGACAGCCAGTTATTGCCTACGTCAATAATTCAGGTACTGATTTTCATGGAAGGCCCTCATTTTAACCTGAACGTTTAAAATCAGACTTTTTTTCCTTTACTTTTGGAAGGAAACGCTCACCTATTATTAAAGTAAATTTTTAAGCCATACATTTTATTTCAATGTACTGAGTTTCTTTCATAAATATTCTTTTGAAAATGTCTACTTATTTAAAATATAAAATCATTGAATTGACAAACAGCTACTGATAAATAAGCATCAAAATGCTTTTTTTTTGTAAAAGTCTAGAGCAAGTTTCAACGCAAGGACAAAATTGATATATCATGAAAATCTTTACAGGTTTGCGTACATGCATTAAAAAAAAAACCTTCCTCAATGCTGAGTTACTTTTCAAACATTAAGTCAGCTTATAACAAATGGCATTTGGGGAAAACAGAACCATTTTCAAACACAATGCAAAGATGGCATGCCAAATAGGGAAATCATGCAGATTCCAAAACAAGAAAGCGTATACGTTAACTTGAACAAAAGTACTGACAACTGTGTAAACAATACTTGGCAATGCCAAACAATGGTACAATACACACTCATAACATGACACATTAAACATCAACAACATATCATAGACATTTGCACGACTCTTTGGTATTTATTTACAAATCTCACGGCTTAGACAAGACAGTATACTTTTTACCGTACATTTAAAAGAAGGGAAGTGATATTTCCTATGATCAGAAGCACATCTGGGGCCAATTTCACGGTGCTGCTAAGCACAAAAATTTGCTTAGCACGAAAAAAGTCTGGCTTATAAAAGCAGGTTACCAGCCAAAACTCCACGTGATGTATATTGCTTGTGATTGGTATTCAGCTGTTGTTTGCTTAGCATGAAAATCACATGGAGTTTTGGCTGACAACCTGCTTTTATAAGCCAGACTTTTTTTGTGCTAAGCAACTTTTTGTGCTAAGCAGGGCCTTGAAATTGGGCCCTGTTAGGCAAAGTAAGCATCGTTTCAGGTAAAAAAAACAACACCAATTCAAACAAACCATGCAAAAATAAAATCAACTTTGTGCACAAGTCAGACCAATGTCAACAAAACAGTTACGCCAGTGTTAAGTTGACATGAGGGGAGGGAAAAAAGGAGGGAGAGTTTCTTTTGGATACTTGACACAAAATGAATGAAATTGAAATGAAAGTAAAAAAGTGAAAGTGGTTGGTTCTTTTTGGGGGAGGAAATAAGACAAATTACAAACAAACATGTACATCTGGATTTTCAGAAATGACCGAAATCAAATAATGGATTTTCAAAAAAAAAGATCTGTAGCGGATGCTTTCTATGCAAGTGTCCCTTGAGTGCTAAAATACTAAAACTTGAAAATGTGGAAACATCCTTTTGCTGAACGTTTTGTGTTTCTCTTTAATAGATTTTTAAACTGTTTTCTTGTTTTTTATTTCAAACGTCGGCTTGCTCGGCACAGAATACGCCCGAGACACGCGATAGTACTGGAGGCATGGCTTTCCTGCCATTCTTCCGCAAGACAACATCGCTAGATTGGGGAGAGTTACCCTCATTCTTTGGACTACCCAACCCTTCCCCCTTCATGCCCCCTTTCAATGGAGATGTTGGGCCCTTGGCCGCCCCTGGACTTTCCCCCTTTCCTATATCTCCTTTTTTGTCAGTGTTCTCTTTCTCGGTGGACAATTTGTCGCTCTTATCAAGGCCCAGTCCTGTGCCTATCCCCACAATTCCTCGTGCCCCGATCTGCAGACCTTTTTCTACCCCAACATCCGCTGCCGAAGTTCTCTTGTCTGGTTTGTCATTTTTCCTCATTTTTTTCGGGTTATAACCCGGACTTTGTGGAGGAGTTTCATCGGCGTAGGGATAATCATCCATGCTCATGATGACATAGCCCTCGTCAGGGGTTTTTGGGGATGGGGTCCGCAAATCTCGATTCTGAGAGTTAGACCGCGCTAGGATTAAGTGCTCTGGTTTTTGAGTAACCGGTGGTTTGCGGCTAATCCCGGCCTTGTTTTGGTCAGCGGTGGACGGTTTGATATGTTCCACCTGGCCACTCACAACCCTACCTTTCCTCAACGCATTGCCTCGAGCAGGCCGCATCGGGGCGTAGTCCAACGACTCGTCGTCAATGCTCTTCCTTCTAGGAGGGCCAAACTTGCCAATCAGTTTGCTGACTGGTGGGGAGGTGGGTGGAGGGAGGGTGAGGGATGAACGGCGACGACCGTCACGGCCGATCGGGGAGGAGGTGTAGTAGGAGGGGTTGGGGACGGTAAGGGGGCGTGGCGGTGGGCTGACTTTCTCACCTGTTCGTCTGGGCGACTGGTCCCGCCCGCCCGCAGATATCTGGGTGTGGTAGCCCCGGGAGGGCATGGGTTCCGTCTTGGGTGCTGGCTGCTGCTGCTGCTTGCCATTCCGGGGCGACATCTGCGCAGTGGAGGCGCTGGAGACAGAGGAGGCGGTTGAGTTGGAGAGCATGGAGGCCGAGGAGAGGGCCACATTGCGGAACTGTGACTTACCACCGCTGTCAGGCGCCGTCTTGAAAATCTGCACAATAAGATGACATCATTACAAGTTAGCAGTGTTACTTTCATTAGATCAACACACCACTGACCTTCAATCAGTTTTCTTTTACAAAATGGCCTGAACCTCAACCTGTCACGAAAAAGTGAAGAGGTAGAGAATGGGAGGAATCTACTGTGAACAAGGCAACTATTTTCCCCAGATACTTCATTAAAATAGGCCGAGTGTCATTTAAAAAAAAAATACCATTGTGGTAATTTAAAATATGCGCCATATTCTGAAGATATTTCATCATCACTTGGGGCAATGTCATCATTTGGGGCAATATCATCGCTTGGCCTCACATCCCAATTTGGGTCCACAACACTAATTGGGTTGCAATTCCTACATGGGCTTTATCCCTACATTGGCAGCTTAATCCCTACGTTGGCAACGATCCCTACATGGGCAGCAATCCCTACATTGACAACAATTCCTACGTGGGCAGCTTAATCTCTACATGGGCAGCAATCCCTAGATGGGCAGCAATCTCTATATAGGCATCCCTACCTTTTCATAGTGCCTAATGAGTATCTCAATGACAATGTTGGAGAACTTGATGTCCATGATGGCTTTCATCGTCTCCTCCTCCGGCCTCATCAGGGTGGGGCCGAAGCACACGCCCAGGTTGGTCACTGTCATCAGGTTTGTCTCGTGGTGGTCTGCCACTCTGGAGTGTCAATTACACAATGAAAGAGTTTAAATGATATCTTCCAATTCTTTGACTCGATCTCCTTTTTTTGCAAGGAACCTTCTTGAATTCATCAAAACATTCTTTCACTTTATACTCAGTTGCCATCAAACCTCATCTAAAGGACTACTGGCTAAGTGTTCCCAATCCTTCAAAATCTTCTGAAACCTCCACATGGTTTTTAAAGGATTTTGGCTAGCAAGGCTTAATGACCAGCGCCCAATTTCGTGGCGCTGTGAAACAGTTAGCAGCAAAGTTGTGCTTACTATAGCAGAAAATTGTGCTAACCTTAAGCACTATCTCATGGTGTGGATGTGCTAACCGTTGCGCGTGCATAGAGATTTCTATTATGATTTAAGCAACTTTTTGCTCTGAGGTAAGCGTGCTTTTGCTATGCTTACTGCTTACGGACTCCATGAAATACAGGGATGCTCAGTTGGCAGAAAATCATGCGCTTAGCAGCGCCATGAAATTGGGCCCAGAACAGAATAGCATCTGTGAATGGATTGAGCCTTTATCATTATCCGAGTTCAAGTTTTTGAACTTTGATTTCCATTTGTACCGTAACACGAAGAAAACTTTAAAAGAGTAACCAAAATTGAATCACATATTTTTTTCAAAGGTGCACACTGCATACAGCCACAAAGCTAGAAAATATGGACTGAATACCTTCGTAAGTGTGCTATAAGAAGGTCCAGCATTTCAAAATTGGGTTCCGCTAGTTTGTGGACTAGCGCGTGGATGTCGTTGACACGTAACGTTTTCGTCTCTTGTTCTGCGGATGGAAACAGTCACCAGTTACAAGAAAAGTCAGATTAATTATTACTCCCCGTAGACTTTCTGTCATCATTTCCCACATCCCACAATTCATTATCGCACTGAATTTGTGTAAATATGAACAAAAGTTGAAAATTGATGGATAAGACAATGTTGGGTACAAAAAGGGGAATTTAGGATTTTCAGCTCCAAACTATTGCATTAAAGTTTAGCAGTTGTAGGATTTTCAGGAGCGGGTATGTGAATATTGTTCCCAATCGGGTTGATTCTCCAGTTGGGTTGCAATACTTACTTGCAGCAGCTATAAATTCATCGTGAAAACTGAACGACATCAGCGGCTCAGGTAGATTCCTGAACAAAAAAAAAAATGGAGAACAAAAAGTGATCAACAATTTGATTGAGAAAAGGAACTCTTGAACTTAAAAATTAAAAAAAAATTCAGGTATAGAATGCTTCATTTTAACGTTTATATTTTATTTGTGTGTGGTCGCATCAGTGCAACAAGGTCCTAACTCAATTCTGCAACAAAGTGGTATCTCGCGCGAATACGCTCAGTGCAACAAGGTTGTATCTCGACGTCCATTGACTTTGTGTACATCCGGGCTATAATAAAATTGAGATACAACCATTTGACATTCTGAAACTCGTGTTTCATGTGCAGCCCATTTTAGGAGATACGACCTTGTTGCACGGACACGACGGTATCATAATTATTATAATAATTACGAAGGACACAATTGGTTCGTTTCTCACCTGAAGTAGTTCTTCAACGCGCTGGTGATAGTCTTGATTTCCCATTCCCCTGAGTCAGACAAATTGACGTTCGTGGGCTTCCTCTTGTCTGCTTCAGAAAAACGGGAGACAAATATAACCTATCGTTATCGGGTTTATCAATGATCAATAATCTATCAATAATCAAATCATCAATTGGGTGATCCAGGGGTAATCCCCGGAGTCAGACAAATTGACGTTGATGGACTTCCTCTTGTCTGCTTCAGAAAACGGGAGACAAATATAATATATCGTTATCGGGTTTATCAATGATCAACGATCAATCAATAATCAAATCATCAATTGGGTGATCCAGGGGTAAATTCCCCGAGTAAGACAAATTGACGTTCGTGGGCTTCCTCTTGTCTGCTTCAGAAAACGGGAGACAAATATAACCTATCGTTATCGGGCTTATCAATGATCAATAATCAATCGATTCAATATATGAAATAAAATGAAAAAGTAAAGAGGCAATTAGTATTGTCTACAACACTCATCCGAACGACATTCTAAATTACAATTCAAGATTAGTAAGTGAAGTTCAACGGACTAACTTACCAAGGCAGAGAGAAGTTAATCTCATGACTTTGGAGTTAACACCGACTACTCTGTACAAGCCTTGGTCTTCCAAACCTACAAGACAAAGTACAACAACAATTACACCGTTTATTAATACTGGTAAAATAGTTCAAAATAGCATACTCCCTGGGCATTTCCATGCGGAAGTGGACATGGCTGAAAAATGTAAAATTTATGCAATCTTCAGAGCTACAAGATTTGCAAGCTCAAATGTGGTATGAAATTCAAGGAAACAACCACACATTTTATTTGAATGTGCCAGTGAGTTGGAATGCGGTAAAATGTTCAAAAACTTGTTTTGGGGATAACATTATGGATTTTAGGAAGCCCTCTTGGCATCTTGTTTTCACACGCAAAATGAAAGAGTTTTTGCATAGAAAAGGTTAATTGTTGATTTTAGCGAAAATGTGTATAAATGTACATTTCAGAAACGCCGTCATTTTGTACACACTTGTATGGTAAACCTTTGGTCATTCCATGACAGTCATTCTGTAACAGTCATTCTCTAATACTGTGTTGATTTGCAAAAAAATTTTCATGAGTTACACATTTTTCAACCAATCTTTAAGTGAAAGGTAGCAAATCAAAGCTAAAAGAATACAGAAAGCAATGAGTATGTAAAAAATATGATGGCAATTTGAAATTCACAAGAGTTTGAGTGATTTGCATATGTAACCAAAACTCGCATCCATTTTGTGTCATTCCGTGACGTCAATGAAGAATACTCATATTTCATAAACACGAGGAATCAAGGTTGGAAAATTTAGTGTTATTGAAATTCAGTAGCAATGGTTGTCATAATATACCATTTGTTTGTTGACAAATATTAGAGTGTTTATAAAATATTGTTTTGAAATATGAAAAGGCTTGTGTTTGTCATTCCGTAACGCTTCAAACTGTCCTCTAGAAAAACTCACCTCGACTCTCAATGGCCTCTATACACTTCTTGATAAAAAGGAAGCCGATGTCGTTGAGTAAGTCTGTCGAGAAAAGGAGACAGTTGTCAATTCATAATTATTCACTATTTTGGAGAATTATTAAATGAGTGTCAATTTACTGATTCCGTCATATTTAACGCATGGAAAAAGTCTGAGAAATGAGAATTATTTCTTTTTTACTTACTATCGTCTTTCTTGGAGATGTGTGCAGGATTTATGTAAATCTGAAATAGAGCAAAAAATATTTATTCATATATTTATATGCCGACATTTATATGCAATTTATACGCCGACATCTAAATTTACAAGTGAGGAACGTTCCAAGTTTTTCATTTTTTTCCCCGACGTTTCAGACTCAATCTGGCAACTCCTTGAGACAGGTCTCTGCCAAATGGACTTACCGGTTCCTTGCCGCCCATAGCTGTCATCCACTGTGTGCGTTCTCTGTCGGAGATTGCTTGTAACGTTACTATGTGAGGCCTAAAAACAAATTTAAAAAAAGGAAACAATAAACAGTTAACATATAAATAATAACAAACTTGTTCTCTGAGAAGACATTGTTGTAGGGGAAAACCTTGGTTTTCTGGATTTCCTTTTCAATCACTGCAAACTGTTTATTAGGCCCCCCCAAAAAAATAGTCGGTCTCTGGTCAGACCAAAGTTCTGGAATTGATGTGGCGACGCGGGTTTTTTTTTTTTGTGGCTTTTTTTTTTTCAAGCTTGAATTGTACAGACAAGGTGTGTACTATTTTGCTTTTTTGTGTCTTCATTATACATTGGTGTCCTCCATAATTTGCCTTGGTGCCCTTTATCATTTGTAATGCCAAAAGGGTCAGAGTTCAGTTTCGGTACTGGTGTAGTTGAACAAAGTCCTTGCAAGTCCATCACAAGTTTTTTTTTGGTGGTTTTTTTTTTTTTCAAGCTTGAATTGTACAGACAAGTTGGGTACTATTTTGCTTTTTTGTGTCTTCATTATACATTGGTGTCCTCCATAATTTGCCTTGGTGCCCTTTATCATTTGCCTTGGTGCAATTTCCCCATTCCTTGGTGCTCCTTGGTACAAAAATTTGAGGAGGTGCGGCAATAGAGGGCGCTGTTGTAGCTTCCATGTAAATTTGATGATTAAAATCGACGCGCGCGCTGACCAGAGACCAAGTTTTTTTTTTTTTTGGCCTTATTGGAAACTTCCTAAATCAATCTGCATTCAAGCCAAAAGCATAACATTCATTTCAGGCTTACTTTTCCATGCAGGTGATGTCGAAGCAGAAGCGCTTCTCGATGGAGTCTGTCATTCGTCTTGTGCAGCTTGTGACGGTGACTTGATCTTCTGTCGTCTGAAGAGAAACAAAAGGAGAAAAAAAGAACAGTAAGTTTTGGGGCAAGTACAACAAATTGTTTACTACCATAATGCCAAAAGGGTCAGAGTTCAGTTTTGGTACTGGTGTAGTTGAGCAAAGTCCTTGCAAGTCCATCACAAGTCCTTCAGGCCCAAGCCAACTCACAAGCTATTCAACGGAGCTGTGAAATCAGCATTTCTTTGTAATTATTCATCCACTGTTTTTTGTGACCGCTCTTGTAGATAGACCTGTGATTTACTTGTGTTCAGTCTTGCGATGAGGAAGTGAAAACGGTCATGAGCCAATGTGGCCCATCAGGCCGGCATTTATCTTTGGTTTTTCAGTAGCATGAAACGACTGAGTATATTTCTATTCCCCTACACAGGATGCTAGTCCATCGCTGGCTACTCCCCAGCTAATGCCAGTACCCATACTCCTGGGTGGAGAGAGGCAAGTGGGGATGAAGTGGCTTGCCCAAGGACACAACATATGGCTAGTAGCTGGATTGGAACCCCCGATCATGAGTCAATAACCCCACTAGGCCATACTCCCCCATGGACTCAACATGAACCAGAACCAGAATCACACTCACTATCATACTGTGTTTTGGCCAGAAACAAAACAATAAGGAACAAATGCCTGACTTATAGGCATCAGCCTCGGTCCAAAATTTTGGCCACCGGTATCAAATGAGGGGAATAATCGTCATAGCGATTTTTGGCAAGGTATACAGCTCCAGAGTTGGAAAATATGTGATAGCATTGCAACGGTGGCAGCTTTTTGGGTGTTATCACCCTTTTTTTCAAAATGTCCATCAAAATGCTTGTTACCACTCTAGGGGCAGTATACCTTGCCCAGGCGCACTATAATCATTTATGCCCTGATTTGATACTGACCAAACCCCCAGGCTGATGGCCTAATATGACAAACGCACTTACTGGCTTAGGCAGTGTCTGGACGAAAGGAATCAACTTGAGATTCTTGGAGTCTTTGTAGTAACGGCAGTAATGCTTGACCCAGTTGGAACCGATCGCCCCTGCGACAAAAAAAAAATTGAAATAAAAAAAATGCTGTCAAATTACGTTTTGTGAACTTTTGACTAGTAATCAAGATAGTTTATACATTATATAAAAGTCATTTGTTCTAAATCGGCAGTACTCACTTTTCTCATAGAGGTACAGGTAGCCTTCTTGAACTTTGTTGGACTTGAGCTGTTCATGGGGTTTCTGGCAACAACAACAAAAAGTAAGAAATACTAACTGTAGAACACACCAATTCATCCTTAATTAACCCTAACCGCCCTGAATCCTCCAAAATCCTTTTTGCAAATTGGAGGAATTTGCAGGATTGAGGTTACATAGCCAGAGTACGCACTGTGTCAAGGTCTTGGGCCGGACCTTGTGTTGTTTATGCTCATCCGTGCATAAATTTAGTCCTTGATTATACTTGACAACCTCCGTACTGCTCCAGGATGCCACTGCCTCTGCCTCAGCCTATTGACAGTCATAGCCGGAGGATTTTGCAGGATTCAGGCAGTGGTCACCCCTCCATGGACCATATTCAAGAAATAACGGAGGAATTTGCAGGATTGAGGCTATATGCTATTTTTCCATGGGGCCAATTGGAGGATTTTGCAGGATTGAGGCTACATCCTAGCAAAAAGGCCTAGGGAGTTAGGGTTAATGTTTGGTGTCTACCTATAGGTATAACTTATGATGCAAAAATGTCTCCTTAAGGGTACATAACAGGAATAAAAGATTTGTTGTTATAAAATATTTGCTTTTTTGTTAACATGCACAAAAGGCACCATCATTTCTTAACAAGAAAAATATGTTGTATGCCAAAAGAAAATAGACAAGCCAGTACAGTGTTAATCATTACACATTTCATGACGTCTTCCACATTCAACAAACTCACTTTAACTCTACAAGGAAACTATAAATAACAAAAATGCAGGCACCACACATCCCCTGATCTTAATTGCATGCATTCTGCCGACCGCAACTCAATAAATTTTGAACTGAATTTGGTGGATGAAACTGCCCTTTTCAATCTTAGAAAAGTTTTATGTTTGTGAGCCAACAAAAAAACAACACCAGAGAAGAAACTCTATATTACGTTTCTAATAACTCAAGACCAAACAAAAGAGAGTTTTAAGTCAATGTGAGAGAGAGTGACAGTGAATTCCCCGAAACCAATTTTTTTTGGGGTGTGGCACATGGGTGTGGCGCGTGGGTGTGGCCCGTGGGCGTGGCATGCGGCATGCAAGAAGACAACAAGGGGGAACGATTATACACACCCTCACCTCCATCATCTTATTCATCAGGGTCTCCGCCTCTTGCTTTGTCATGTCGAACCCCGTCCGGATCTGAGAAAAAAAGAGAGAGAAAAAAAGTGCAAAATAGGTATGGCTAACGTAAGCGCATTCACGTGACCAAATGGAAGGGCGTTTATCACACAAAAATTACATCAAGCCCCTTCCAAACTTTTGTTTTCTCCAAAACCTAAAAGCAATATCTTTTCCATTTCTGTATATCATCATTTATAAATTTATGAGTATTCAAAAATTGTACAGATACTAAATCTTTTTTCCCCCTACAGAACAACACTAAGTCTTGTCTGAAATGTTCTAACTTCTAGCTGGGACTAGTAGTGCAACAGGAGTAAGGAGCTGATTATATTTTCATTCATTTTTTTTCAGCACTCTGGTTTCAAACTCACATTCTGTAGCTTGTACTGTAGCTCTGTCATGTATGGTTTGAAATCCCTAGCCACCTCATGACCTGAATGGGGACAAACGGCGGAAAGAAACAATCAAATTGCTGTACAGAGACGACTGCATTAACAACAATGAGTAGAACATTGAGTGGAGGAACCAACTCCGTACCAATGGCTACATAAAGCAAAGAGCCAAACAAATCATGAAATTGACAGAGAAACTGACAAACCATTCCATAAACTTGTCCTTTTTACTATAAACAGGTTGGCAGCTGGAATGAAATATGTTGTTAATTATCTGCAGGAATTTTGTGGCTAATTTGTACATGTGAGTACATGTGTGAGATTTTCTGGCAAAATGAGACAGGACAATGGAGACAATTACAGGCATGAGAATGAATTTCAATGGGAAAAAAAGGAAACTTGTGAGAAAAAAAAAAAATGGAAAAAAAATGTGAAATCAGGTAAAATATCCCCAAAACAGGCTCAAAGTATATATAAACGTGGAAATTTGAGCAACAAAAAAAACCAGGAATTCCTGTTTAAACAGGAACATTCTCATGCCAGAATAGAGTTTTCCTTAAAATACTATTTGTAGCACTTCATGGAAAACAATTGCCTTGTACTCGTACTCATGACAAAGTACTCATACTCATAGCAAAGTAGTCATGCTAGTGCTTGACTCATGGAAATATTCGCGGCTACAACACTGGCCGATTATTTGCTTAACCAGTTTTGCTTTTAGAAAAGCTCCATAAAATTAGGCCCCATCATTTCCGCCACAATAGTCTGTTTACCTTGATGGTAGAATGTCAACCAGCTGTACATGAAGCCCAGTAACTGTACGAAAGAGAAAGAACCAACAAAGCGTCAACAAAACTCCTGTTAATGAGTGACCACGTCTGTGTGATATAATCCAGGTGTTTGGTCTTGTGGCTGAGTCACTAACCGGTGACAAACAACCTGGGTTTTCCCTGACTACACCACTTGGCGATGTTTACCGACTGATTAATGATAAATGGAGTATGGATTTGATAACTCAACAGTTTGTTGTTCTTCAACTGCAGTGTACCGGGTGAATGATATATCATAAACATTATTTTTGTCTTTTATTAGCATATGACAAAATATGGAAATTACAAAACCTTTAAAAATAGACTTTCTGATGTATGTGCTATTTTGCAACATTTCTTCATCACATTTCCTGTTTTTGGCACACACACACACGTGTGTCTTATTGAAATCAACAACAAATTTGTAATAGGATAGATGAAAGACAGTTTCCTTTCAAGAATGAAGGAGTTGTTCATTTTTTTTTTTGCTTTTTGCAATGTCATGCAATTTTCTATTTTGTTAGTAGTGTTTTATTCGTTCACTCTGAACTTGCCATAGAGGCGATTCAATAAGATGCCTGCTCACTTAACATTATGTTAAACTGACATTTATTCAGGAATTGAACAAATTAAAAAAAAAACCAAAGGAACAGGTTATCCAAAATGCAAGGCCTGCTTAAAAAAAACTCTCATTATTGTGTGCAACATGTCCTTGAAACTTCACTGAACCACAGGAAGGATACACTACGCTTTTACCAGAAGCTACAACATGGTACCAAAACCTACATTTCTCACTGGTCCCATTACTTGCAAAAAAATTGGAAACCACTGTAAACATTGGTCAACAGAATTTCCAGAATACATATACGTGAATCATATGGACACATGATCCAAAATGCCCACACATTGACATCATCATTCATGTACGTGCACATAAAAATGAGTCACAAATGTCATTAGCTGACAACAGAGCAAGTTGACCTCAAACCTCAAACACCTGCGAGATTTTACGGGAATACAGTACATCCGGGCACCATGTATATATTCTACAACGCATATAAAGTCCTATTTTTCTGCAATTTTGTGTGTGTGTCCTGACTAGGCTTATCCAGTCCAGGACGACAGACTCCATGAAAGGGGAAACAAATATGAACATTTACCACAGATTAAAAATATTGCAAAATTGATGACTATAATAAAATAAATCTCAACTTCCGTTTAATCGATCATGCAGATAACAATTGGGTTAAGTCTAACATGGGAGCCTGTGACTAGACTAGGGTACCAATGACGTTCACATAAAAAATGAACATGGACTGGCGAGCCCTGCACGCTCTATTAAACATAATGTCTCGTGGACAATCAACAGGAAATTTCTCAGTTTTTCACTACGATGATTTCCTGGTTTGCATTCCGCTGAAGATAAATACGGAAATTATACAGGTTTTGGGAGAAGACCTGAAACTCAAATGACGAAGTTAGGTCTGAACCCTAACTACCCCCAACACTTCAAAATCCAACTGCATGTTTTGTTGGAATCGGTTGGAGAGAGGACTGTAAACTGATTATGTTTACATGGTCAGGCATACCACCATAATCCAACAGTTTGGATGTTGAGGTACCATATAGTGTTGGATTCTCAAGAGTGAGGAAAAAAGTATGGACAGTTTGCGGTAACACCATGTGAATTCAGGGAACACTAATAGATTGGCCAGGGAACACTGATAGCCTGGTGCCAGGGATTGGAAGTAATGGGATTGTGTGGGATTAAAGTCAGGGAGCACTCACCGTCTCCACAAACTCAAACTTCTTCTTCTCCTGGACTTCTTGCAGGATGCGGGCGTACATCAGGGACTCCCGGTGGAAGTCCCTCCTCTCCAACTCCAGGGCTGCATCAGCCTAAAAAATAAAAGACAAAGAAGAGTTACGACTAGAGGCCACTTAATGCTGACCAGGTTTCTCAAACCACTTGCAATACATCTGAGATTATGAGCATATTTTTTACGACAAACCAAAAACATAAATTAATAAACATGGTATATGCCCGCGAATTTGGATTTTGTGCAATCACAAAAGGACCAATTGAAATTCCATATCAATACATTGTCCTCACAGGTACCCATTAACTCCTGGCTAGGGAGAAGCAATTAACAGCGACAAAATATCTTGCCCGAGGACACACCAGCGTCACACGCATCGCAAACCCCTACAGACTGGACTAAAACCCATGATAGCAGTACCCACAAGATCTTGAGTTTGAGACACAAGGCCGCAAGGCTTTAACCTTCCCAATGCAAGTCTTTTAACTCTGAGATGCAATTGCCTAAGACAATGTGATTTCTTGTGACAATCCCAACTGCCGTGTTCCGCCTTAGGACGCACTCTCCAGATCTTCCCAAGAGCTCTCCTTCCCTAGTCGGCTTTTCTACATAGTTGTAAAAAAAGCCTTTGTTTTTGTTCTGATTTCTGTCTATTTTTGTTTTTACTTACCTCCTGTAGCGAGGTCTCTTTTTTCTTTGTCGTGAGACCCACGTGACTGTCCAGCGACTTGCAGAATTTCTCCGTCTGCTTCTCAAACTGTTTCTTGGCTTCCTGATCAATGGGGGGAAAACAGGTTCGACCATGATTAATTGTTGAATTGCATAGCATAAAAATCAATTTTCAAAATAAATGAATATTTACCTCAGATCAATCAATTCCAAAAACTATTAACTTTTTTCTGAATACTTTTTTTTTTCTTTTTCTTTTTTTCCTTTTAAATAAAATACACATTGAATTATCGGGGAGGTTTGTTCAACACTGTCCACTTGTGTGAGCCTTAAATTTTTCTAGCACACAGCAGCACAGTGTACTTGATGGGGAAGAGTTTCGTTATTTGGATAACCAAGTTTGTTTTAAATTCTCTCTTTTCCTTTTAAAAACAAGGAAACACTGACACAAAATTTGTATGAAAACAACACCAGGAATTTACTAGTACCTTCGTAAGTTCAATGGCTGTTATAGCTTTGTGTTTACCTTTTCATCTTCACAAACAAGGAAATAATTGGACAGACTTGTGAGTTTCTTCATCTATCCCATGTACGGTAGTGTGTAAGGAACGGAAAACTGCAAAAAATCACTTGACAAATGTAACTTTGGTTGCTACCTTTGCCGAGCCAATCTGCTCCTTGCGGAAGACTTCTAGCGGTGTAATGAGGCGATCCTTGGCATGTTCCAGCTGAATGTAAAAACAAATACATTTAACTTAAATTTTTTTAGGGGGGGGACCGCCAATATAGGGCTGGATAGCTCAGTTGGTAGAGCACCAGATGGCAATCCGGAGGTCTCAGGTTCAAACCCAGCACCAGTCAATTTCTTTGTTTAAGTTCATAAAAAAAGGACCAAGCTTAATTCTGTGTAGCAATTCTGGTTAACATTTGATAAAAAATAACTGCATCCTCAGCATTCAACTGGATTTCGGCATGGAAAGAATGACAGTAAAATATGTTGTGACAATGATCAAAATAAATTTTACACAGATACATGTTCATGTACATTTGAAGAGAATAGTTGGCTTTCTTTCTTCTCTTTATGTATACAGTACAGTTTATAATCTGCGCTTCTGTGATGTTGTATGATTTGATCAACCAGGTGCAATAAAAGAAGTCTGTAATTACGCTAAGTATGCTGCCTCACTCAACACATTTCCATTTCAAGATTTTACAATGGCGATAACTCCCGGCCACTATTATTAGACGCAAGGCAATAAAACACAGGACAGGAACTTGAGCTTGTCAAGAGAAACACGACTTATAAACTCGGGTGTAGCAGAGCCAGGGGTCGTGTGAAAGGTCACGCTACTGGAATGCGATCGCGTTTCCCCTCTCACGAATCACACACTTGGCAGAGAGCAATTGGTCTCCAGATTTCGAGAGTCAGGAAGTAATACGGACCGTTCAGAGAAGTCAAAAGCTTTCTCTTTCTCGGTGCACAAGGCCTCGTAAAATGTCTCTCAAGAAAATAAATCTCACGATTTTAAGGAAAAGGGATGAATAGAAAGGAGATAATCAGCAGCTGTGAGGGATTGGGAATGAGATATTGACCTTAAAATCAAACAGTGAGTTGGGTTAAATGCTGAACTTAAATTTACATGTATAATAAGACTGTGGAAAGTATAAACTAGATACAGACTAGGGAAGGCGGTTTTGGAGAAATGTTGATGACTGCTACTAGTAATAGGAACTTTCTGAAAATGAAAGATGTTGAACTTTTGTCAAGTCACAAGTTTTTTTTGCTGACTGAAAATGACTGTGCACCCACTGGTCACTAAGCATGTAATTTGTTCATAATAATTGTCATATCTTGTAAAATTTGATTATCAATTTAGGGCAAAATCCAACACTCCTGAAATCGAATCTGTCCCGAACTAATTTTTGTTATTTACCATATTTCATGACTACAATGGTTTCATTTGGCTAACTGACGTTTATAATCATCACAGTCCCTGTCACTGCTATTTTTGTGACACTTTATTCATCTCTTCTCCAAAGACCATATCAAAACCAACCCCCACAGTACCAAAGGAAGTAGTCAGTGGTTGGGACTTCATATGTGTGGGTTAAAAAGCAGGCTATTCGTTGACCTTAAAGGTACAATGTACATGTATTAGTAAACATTAAAAAATGAAGCTGTCAAAATATCATAACATGTCCTATTTGATTGCAAGTAAATAATAGGATCATGCATCCTACGAAATCATTCCGCCTAGTATGCTGTCCTTTTCGAGAAAGGAGGGATTCCTCAGGATGATTTGGACCAAACCATCATGCTTTCAAGGTGTTCATTACCTTTAAATACTTGTTATTCAACTTTGACATTTGTAAAAAGATGCTTGGCTCAGTGAATCAGAAATGTTTTGTTTAATAATTGCCAGCTTGTTCTATGACTTGTCATTGAAGCATTTCAGGAAAATGAAGTGGGCTCGTTGGGTTTCACGGATGAGCAATAGCGTGGTCAATAGCACTCCCTCACTAAAAACAGCACTACTGGTACAAATGTGTAGGTGTACATGTATCATTGTATGTGTGTACATGTACAGGTTCAGGTACATGTGTATACATGTACATGTACTTAGCCCAGAAAATATCAGGGCAAATAGCGCCCTCTATAGTTCATGCACACAGCATACTGGTACGCATTCTATTTCATTCATCATGGTAAAACATGAATCATGGATCCACTGTGGTAAAAAAAACACTGCCACTGGTCAAATGACATCCACAATTTCTACCGTACAGTCCAGCGGTTACAATGCTCTCTTCGTCTGCACATAAACAGGAAGTTCTGGGTTCATCTCCCACTCAAGTCATGTATGAATTCTTTCCGGCAAGTCATCCCGAACAAGCACTGACAGAACAGGGATACGAGTTGAAGAGGGAAACTCCATATTTAATTTAAGACCTATGATCTTCATAATTTAACACTTGGCGTACGAGTAGGCAATACATGACACTATTCAAGGAAGTCATTTGCGTTGGGGTGATGTACATGTACATGTAAATTCATTAGGTTTTGCCCTTCGCCGATGTATTTTTATAAACTATGTATACTCAAATGTTGTCCCAAATTGTGAAGAAAAAAAAAAGGGTGGGACTCGAACCCACGACCTCTTGCTTACTAATACTCAGTGTTCTCCAACATGTAGAACAAACCTGGCGCCCCGCCATGCTTTCTTCGGCGCCCGCCATGTTTAAGAAGTCCCCGCCAAGCTTTAAAATCCTGCCGCCAGGTTTAATTTTTTTGACTCTACAGTGTACATTTACAACTAAAATAATTAATTTCAGTTGTTTTTCCACACATTAACAACGTTTTTCGATGTCATCCCAGCCTGATCGGGGTTGTCTTACAATCTCGCTGAATCAATCACACGCACGGCCGTGTAAACACCAGCGATTCCCCATGCACCCGTACGTACTATACTATAGTACGCGCGATGTACACACACACTGACAACTGAATCCCCAGTTCCGGAGTGTGCCGATACTTCAAGTAGCGACAACCCCGCCGCAAAAATATATATCTGTATTAGTACACACACACACCAGCAGGAGTACGTACGGCAGATCTTACGTGCAGCACACCGACTTTCTTTTTCTCAGTGCTTGCACGCGCGGTACACAATATAATACGCATTGATGTGTACGAGGCAAACGAGCTCGAGGCCAAAACACGCGTGCACATGTGTTCCGATCATGCCGATTGTCAAAAGTTATAAATGGCGATCGTGTATGGGCCCGGTTCCCTAAGAGAACGAAATCCACTTTTAATTTAATTGACTTACCAAACTAGTTGGCGACATTTAAGAACATACAGGTAGGTCATAAATAGAGGGAAATTTGGGGGGAAAATGACGATGACAACGACAAAACGCAACATGAAAATAAAGATGACGATCGCATGGCACCGGTCTACCCATAAAATCGCGTTAAAAAAAACGTAATTTGTATCCCATTTTGTTTTTCAAAATTACAAAAAGGTGTCATTTGATCTGAGAGAAGTCTGTTTTAGGTTGAAAAGGAAATTTTTGAATGCTAAAAAAATCGGGGGAACTGGCCTGAAGAATCGCCTCAGATTGCACCACAGAGCATCTAGAATCCAAAATGTTCCCGGGGCCCTTAAGCGGGCCCCGGACCCCACGCCGTAAGGGCTTCGCGCTCCGCGCTCGCAGGAGTCCCCGCCGACCCCAGCGCCAACCTTTGATTTTCAAAGTTGGAGAACACTGAATACTAGTGCAGATGTCTTACCACTCGACCACCGAGCTTACCAGGGTCGGCTGAGTGGTGTGAATCTTATGAAGCAGTGAGTACTGCAACCAAACTATTCAACTTGAGACAACACTGAGTATAGACAGTGTTTACAAAAATATGTCGGTGAAGGGCAAAAATCTAATACTGAATACATAGCAACACATAAGATAATGTGCGTACAGTATGGGGATATTTATTGGGTAAACTGAACATGTACACTGGCCATTACATGTATATAAAAACAAGCCAATGACATCTTGGCTTTTGCTGTCATTTTCAGAAATGAACTATTTGAGGGGTTACTATAATAGATCAAATATTGTTACACTGACATGTTTGAAGTTTTGTGTTCGAAAATGCTGGAAAATCCAAGAGAAACAAAGTGTTCAAGTAGTCTGGTTTCCTGACTCCACTAAAGATGAAATGGGTCAACTTATAGATGTCGGAAAACTGTAAGGTAATGGAACCAGTCTAGCTGGCCTGCACCCATTCATGAACATGTGACCAATAGCAAACAAACTTTGGTCTGGAGAAAAAAAAAATGCTAAATTTGGAGCAGTAGTTGAAAAATAGTTAGGTTTTTCCAAAAGTGGTCGGCCGACCACCGTTGGAAATTTATACAAAATACCACTTTTCTTGAAAATGACTTCACACCTGGTGCCATAATTTTACAGGATGCTTTAGACTGTCATTTACCAACATCCCAGTAAGGTATTTGGTAAAAATTTGGTAGTTTTGTTTTTCGATGTTTGCAAATGTTGTATATATTCCCTTTAACTTTATGCCACATCTTGGCATCCATGCATATTGTACTACATTGCCCCTGTACACTGTGCAGTGCAAACTATCTGTCTGCATATGCCGCAATGGAATCCCAACCATTTTGGAATGACGGGAGGGCTACGGACCGCTGACATTAATAAAAACACAGTCCTGCTGGACAAAAAAATGATTGGTTAGCTTATTTACCAATTACAATACAACCCTTGTGTCATGAGACTTCAGTTGATCACTCTGTTTATTGTTTCCGTAAATATGTAAGGATATATGCCATTGACATGTGACATTTAGAGTGTAAGGATACGACATGGGAAACCACTTCTGCGTTATTCTGGGGATATCTTGTAGGATAGATAGCCTATTGAGAGGGATCATATCACGGAAAGGTCCGTGATTATATCAAGGACAGAATTGGGATGGAGCCAAGTTGTATGGCAGGCTTGTGGCCTACTTTACAGGAAAAAAAACAAATGTTTGCGAGTTTGAAATACAAAATAAACAGTACAAATATAGACAAGTTTCTCGTCGCCGCCCGCTTCATTTTTTTTCCGGCTGCCTCCTTTATTTTTAGTTTTATTTTAAACTCAATGATTTGCAATATATTTAGTTTTGTGTATGTTCTTCCAGCAATATTGTAGCTATGTATGTAAGTTTAGAATCTATTATTTTAAGGCATTACGACTCATTTAGACACAAAAGGAATAGCAAAAGAGTCAAGAAATGGGAAGAATGCATCTTGGAAAATCTGCCATCTTGAAGAAAAAAAAGGGAGGGGGACCTCCTCCTCCCTTTTTCCAAAATGCCTGGACGAGAAACTATTTTTTTTTTAACCTAATAATGAAAATATATTTAGCAATCAGTACACAAACATCACCTGCTATAAATTTTATCAAATATAAATCGATAACATTAACCAACGGGGAAAGATGCTCACCATGCGATCTCGCTCATCTTCTATTGATGCAATAAGCCTTCCGAACTCCTTCAGAGATTGTGCTGAAACAAACATTCAGGGGAAAAGGGCTAAAGTTAAAACACCACAAACACTAAAATGTTCAATTGAGATTGTCTCTACACATCCCTCCACCAGCCTGTAAACTCACCCTGATGGAGCAATCAATTTCCAGAATCAAAAAAAAAAGTCAGGTTTTTCCCATTGCCAGAAATTGTAAACGAGCTTTCGTTAAATGAACAAAGTATAAAATTGTAATAAAAAAAAAATCAAATAAAAAAATACAAGTGTGTGACTGATCTAAATTGAAAATGAAACGAAATTGGATCCATATGATATAAAATTGCATTCATGACGTATTTTCCTCTGTAACTCGTTTCAATGTACATACATGTACATGTACTTAAACATCTGACTTCAATTAACTTGACATTTTCTATTTATTCCTTTCAGACAGGCAGCACTTGTGTGACATTTGAGTTATTGGCAGACACCACAACTATTCCAGAGCTGGAGATTGCTGGGTTAAATGCAACATTGAGCAGAATCACATGACATAGATGCAACATGCAAAGGAATGTGGCTGAAGAGTGAACATCCTTTTCAGAGCATCCAGACAGGATATGTACTGGACTTCACCTGCTATTAGTAATAAAAATGTGGGCCTGTTTTATGCCATGTCAGCCAACTTTGTCAAATACAAGCACAGGTGTAAACTCACAGGCATTGTGTACATGTTATTTTGTATAATTATTATGCATAATTCTCTCAACATTTATTATGGCAAAACTTGTAGTGAATTACGGTGCCATTATGATAACTTCAATGTGTCAACACCGAGTCTTAGGGTTCATATGAATCTTTTCCTAATGAACGGCAATATCAACTCTGTGCATACATTTGTACATGTACATGTACAATGTTCATGTAACTTCATTAATCCACAGTATACATGCGAAACACCCCTTTTCACACTAGATCCTCTCAACCCTGGGTGAGCCAAGTGCTGCCCTGGGTTTTGATGTCTTTTTAAAAAACAATTCAACTCTGTGTTCAACGCCGCGTCATTTCGCACTTGTTACGTGCAAACTGAGGTTATTTCGCTCGGTTACTGCTGTTTTGAACCCTGGTGAGAGTTTCAACTCGGGTTGAAAATCTCAAACCTGGTCTGGAGCAGGGTTCAGTTCAACCTGGGGTGAAATCAATCTTAGAGTTCAGGCAGGGTTGGGCAGGGTTGAAAATGTTCAAGTGTGAAACACCGCATGTTTCCAACCCTGCGTCAACCCCGCGTCAACCCCGAGATTTGTCTAGTGAGGGTGTTTAGCATACGTATCCAGTTGAAAATTGGTCATGCACTCTGTGTGAATTTCTTACTTGTAGTCCACATGCAGTTCACAGCCACTACATGTACACCCTTGATTGGCTTCTGTGTGTGGCTCAAAATAAAACCATCTGTAATTCGTGCAAAGAGTCCATATCAATTCATGTTCTGCACCAAATCATGGTCAAAATGCCTGAAAATCTCATCACATCTTTGATGACTAATAATTATCCACCTCTTATCATTAAGTACTGAGCCCCTTTAATCTCCACCGCGCCGAAACTGAGAGAAGCCTCACCTTCAACCGACTATTCACCCTGGTCTAACCCCGCCAAAAAACTTCCTGTGTATGTGAGGTCACAGCCAGAAGTGATGTGAGGTCACAGCCAGAAGCCAACCGCAAAGTTCAGTGGAGGCTTTTAATTTTGGGCACTTGGTTGGGACCAAATCTGTCCCCTCCACAGGGGACTGAACTAAGGCCTGGCCACTTGTAAATCAAACTACCTCCACATTTGGAAATGAAGTTTTTCAATGTCAAACGTTGTTGAGTTGCATGGGATATAAAATTACACATTCCGATGTTTGGAATCACATTTTGGGACTGGGCTGAGCAAAAACAAATCCACAGGGGGCTGATGAGTTATCTTAAAGTGATATTATTAAGTTATTTCGTTGGTGGGACCGGGGCATTTTTAAGTTGGTGCTGATCACAAGAGTCATTTCAAAAATCCAAAGGTAAACATAACAGCAAACCCTGCCAGTCAATTCAAATTAAATCTCCACTTAAAATTGTATGAAGAATAAAAATTATTGATAAATACTTACAAATGTCAATTTCGTCATCTGTCTGCGACATCCCGATGCACTCAAAGTTGAAACTGATGAGCGTATCCGAAAACGACCTCTGCGCTTTCGATAAATCTGGAACAGACAGAAAACAAAATACCAACCGTATTTCATTTTGGGCAATAAAAACAGCATTCCACAATAGCAGTGTCTGGGAGGAGTACAAAAATGTACATGTACATTTAATAGCTTCAAGCATGAGGAAATAATGTGGACAGAAGTATGTTTTCATACACGTATGGTAAACATGTACAATGTACATGTATGATTTACAACCATGACACTGCACACGATGTACTATATGCTCTACCGCATTCAAACAAAATGTACCTTTAATCTTAATAATAATTGTCCACACCTGTATCCAGCAGAATATATTAGGGATGGAAATTTATGTAGAGGTATAATATGCCCGAGTAGGAATGAAAGTGTGACAGGTTAATCTTATTGATCACAGAATTATAAGAGTACATGCATACATGTATAACGGCACTCACATCAATAAATCTGCACACAGGCCAAGTCCAAGAATAATTTATAAATTGTGAGGGTCATTTTGTGGTTGTACAAATTGTTCACTGTCCTGCACACATTTATGTACATTCCAGTGCACACATGTCCTTTTTCATGTTTTTATTGCTCCATGTTCTAAGGTACCGTAGTACAGATGTACACATATGTAGATGTACATGTACCGGTACATGTCCATGTACATGTCCATGTACATGTACAATGTAGGCACAATATCTGCATACATATTGCATCTACACACTTCCAGTCCTGTACGGAAAATAATATCGCTAAATATAATATCCCATAAAAAAAGTCTGTTACTGTGGTTGGGACCTCGGGGCACACTGTTCACTGCTTTATTGTAGCAGGGATCATATGTGTGTATGCAAACAGTCTTTATCCCATATTTTAATATTGACATAGGCTTATCTTCATAGGTCTCTATTCAGAATGGCAGACGCCTGGTGTATGATTTGCGGGCTGCGCTACGGGTCACAGCGTGGTGGCTGGCATGCTGCATGTAACATGGCGCTGCTAGTCTGTAGTCATTTTGTAAATTAAAGGTTGCTTTAAGGGGTGCACATGGTCACGGCTGGTTCGTTGAGCTCTCTCCATAAAATCTATCCGCAAATGTAACTCTTATGGAAATCTATTTTCTTGCATGTTTTTTTTTTTTTAGTAAAACGTTTTAACTGGAAGAGATATACATGTATACATGTATGTACAAACTACACGAACATTTACGTACATGTACTGGTATTCAATATACATGTACATGACATTTTTTAACTTTCTTCTTTTGAAAAAATCAAAAACATACATTGTACATGTACAAATGAAGGTTTTTCAAAATTATAGCAGACACAAAATTATTGAATACATGTCCTTAAACAAATATACACTGAAAGAGAAATGGTAATAAAAATTAAGGTCAATGTCAAAAGAATTATAATTACCATTAATCCAAATATGCAAAACAACCTGCAAACGTATTCTGAGCACTGTGGACCCAGCCAAAGTGCACGTGACCTTGCTCTGATAATGGCTACCGGGCTTGGCATTATATTGTCTTAATGCCAATTAACACATGATGACAATTACACGTGTAATGCACTTATACTAGTGCTTAATCATACTTTTCATCATGTACATGCACGTCTTCATGCACGTGGACAATGAATACTACACGTCCATAAACTACTCAAAGCCAAGTGTACATGTATATTTACAGGTCTTGTATACACACATTGAACATGTACATGTACACATGCACATGTACATGTAGGTGTGGTCCGTATGTGCACGTGTACATGGGAGATTGTTGCACACGTAAAAATATTCCACAACGGCAACTCTGTCAGCAAAAACTACAAGATGTACATGTATAGCAGTGAAGTATTTTAAGACAAAATAATTAAATGGCATTTTTGTACCAAATTGCTAAATGCAAGATCGGAAATGTTCTTTAAAACTGCTATACATCTTTCTTTTTTCAGCAAAGATACAGACATTTACAGTTGGAAAACATTAATAAATTGACCGACGTTGTGTTATGCAGGAACCTACCAGTATGTAGTGCACATGTATATAGTCTACATGTACCGGTACTTTCAGTTTCATGCACAATTATGGTGTACTTATGGGTCATTAAACCTAACAGTCCTGAATCCTCCAATTTTAATATAATTTTGCACACCCCCTAGGGAGTTAGGTTAATGAATAAATGCGTCTACCAGTATGTGTAATGTACATTATACATGTACACATGTGCCCTTGAACCACAATAACAGTCGGTGGTGTTCACTCCATTGTATATATTTTCAATATATGTGAGTCACCAGAGAAAATACCCAATCCGAAAATATTGCCTTTCCAATGAGTGACACCCAATCTGCAAAATAACTGTCTCGTCAAAACTGGCTGATATATGAGTTACCGTATCGGTCCGAATTATTCTGCGAACATCACATCTAACTCCACTATGCATGGACTTTGTCTAGAATAGATGTAACCTCGTTTGCAATTCAGGTAGACAAATCAGAAAAAAATATATGATGATTTAGGGGGAATTTTTTTTCTAGGAATACTCGCAGAAGCCCTCAAACATGTACGGACATGTCCAGCATTTACACAATCTGTGAAAAATGGCACACTGGAGTATTACACGCACTATATTTTCATGTACATGTATGGGTCTTGCTGTCGGTGGCACTGCATAGAAAATGCATTATAATTGTGTGTAAATTTTGAAATACTTTGGTCTTCATTAAGGTAATTGTCTGATGAAAATCATGTGACAAATTAAATATTAACATTTATGCACGTTCATGTGACTCAACATATTGAAGTTGAACATGCCAGATTTAACTTAAAAAAAAAAAAACAGATTTAAATTTGAAGGTTCCGTTTCAAGGGAATTGCCCCTACCTGTATATCAGCCAAAAAAAAATAAAAAATCTGAGTTTGATTATCTTATCCACTAAAGGTTTTATTACAAGTACAGGTAATTTGTCGCCTGTATGAATCTTGTTCTTTAAACAGAAATGAATATTTCTTTAAACAGAAATGAATATGGTAGAATATGTATGTATAGCGGGGAGTCAGGTTGGCGTAGCGGTACTTTCCTCGCCTTCCACTGCTGTGACCTGGGTTCGAATCCCGCCTGGGCCAATATGTGGATTGGGTTTTCAGTCCCTGCCTGATTCCGTGGGTTTTCCCCAGAATATTCTTCTGGGCTTTTCCTCCCACCTCTAAAGCTGTAATTTCTTCTCATAGTCTTCTCTCTACAGGTTTCTTCAGGCTTGCGAGCTACAGTGCCTAGGGCGCTTTTGAGGAATTCTTGGTTTCATTACCAGAAATGATTAATAATAATAATAATAATAATAATAATAATAATTCTTTAATTTATTCATGATTCAATCAATGTGGGCATATTGTACATCATTTTCTCAAATAAAACTCATACCCGTAGAATAGATGTACACGAAAGAATCAAACGAACAGGATGAATGTAATCCTACAGGTGTTACACAAAGACTGTTGCCAAACAATCCATCTGAAAGTGTATAAAGAATATTTGCATGCCGTGTGTCTGTCGTGTCACACGTGTACATGGCCTGTACATGTGCAGTGTATATGTACATGTACTTGTATTAATAACTTATTCAAACCATTAATTACTGTTTTAATGGGAAACAAAAACAGATTGATCAATGCTTGGCTCTTGGGTCCATGTTAATGCAATTATTTTGTGTCTCAGTAGACCTTTGATTCCTTCTTATTCCTCCATACATGTAGAATGACTATTGGGACTCCAGTTTTATAATTGGAATCAGTTCAAAAGTACGATACCTGTATTTGTAACTAGGGTCACTCTTTTCTGTTCAGAGTTCCGGGCAAGGACGCTTCAGTTATGTATGTACAAATGTACATGTAAATTGGTGCTGATCATCCTTAGCTCAAGGACTCAACTAGGACTTTACATACATCTTGTACTGTCGATTGAGGTCACGCGAGTTGGTGATGTGGGGAAGAGGTGGGAGTGAAAGTGGGTTGGGTGTGGCAATTTCTTTTTGTAATTTTTAAGATCTTTGCTGTTAAAGCTTTGTGGTTTTATAAGACCTGTTTTTTTTTTTTCTGAGTCTGTGCAGTTTATTCCGAAGATTTTAATTCAATTCATGATCAAGGTCCATGTTTCGAACAGTTACATGTTGACATGACTACGCCAGCAAGATTGACAAATCTGCAGTTGTTTGGGACAATTCCGAAGTCTAGAAAATAGGAAATTAACTGATTTTTAAAGTCTTAATCCAAATTCTATTTGGGTCCTCTTGAACATTGAAATGCTCGTAATACTTTTCCATTCAGTACGACTCAAGAACACAATCTGAAACTAGTGTCAATGCTTCAGCTAAGAGACTTGTAAGCTCCCATTTTTTTCATGAAAGTCAGGCCTTGACACAAACAAAAGGTTTTGCGACTCCTAAAGTGTCACTCCAAACTCCCCCCCCCCCACCAACCGTACATTTTAACTATAGAGTAAACCAAAGTAAATACCGTGACACAACTAAAGCCCTGTCCGCACTGGACTTTTTTTTTGGAAGGTTTTACCGAGACGATGGTAAAATGAGAAATGGTCAAATGTGACCACTGTCCGCACTTGGACTTTCGACACGGGAAAATTTACCCAGACCGCGTGGGAGAAGTAACCGAGCTGTCACAGTGTCAGTAAAATGACTCACCGTACACAGAAAACAAATTGCCGATCACATTTTCAGCCGCCGATACGCACAGTAATATTACACATGCCATTTGCATGCACAACATAATCGTTTACACGATATTATTTCATCTTGACACGCTAAATCTTGACGAAAAGGCCTATAATTCTGACGCATTTTGTGATGCACGTCGTCGAAGCCATGCCGCTGTACGATGTTCCGTGCGGCAGCAGTGCCATCAGTATTCGTTGGTTCCCATCGCATGCTTACAGAATCGAAGCTATGATGTGGGCAGGAACCAGTGACTACGGCCTACGCACGGTACCGGACGTACCATGATGT